GACTGGACGGTTTTGTCTGAAAGTTCTGTAGCTGTGTGATAACTTTAGAAATTAGAGACTGTGGATATTCCACTACATCCAGTATGTGTGTTAAGTCAGTTTTATATATCACACCCCTATCTATATAATAGTTCTGGAACTCTCAAGTGGCAGGGTTGACATAAACACATGTTCTGACCTTTATTTATGAAGCAGTTATTTGCACAGGTACTTAATTTGGGAGAGAATGTATTGTAAATTCTCTCCAGATAAGTGTCTTAAGTGCACTTAAGTGAGGTGTTCACTCGGTTACCAGTGGTAATAGTCTGGCTTCTCCTCTCGCACAGACCGTGAGAGTCAAGGAGGAGCGGCGAGGTATTTGCTAAATCAGCCTGACCTCGCTCAACCTCTGATGAAGTTATAGACTCAGCATGTATGACATGAACAACTACTGAGTCATTGTTGAATAATTGAGTGAATAATTTGGTATTATACATTTAAGTATTATACATTTGGGTGAATTTTTAGATAAAGTAAGGGTACTATTACAGAAGTACGCGTTGGTAGTTCAGTGCATGCAAGGTACATTGTCTCTATAGCTGTGTGTAGAATAGAGGTGGATAATATGCGTTTGCTTTATGTCCTGACTTTGCAAATCAAAGACAGGGTCCGTCATGCTGGGAATGAATCCTCAGATTAAAGTACTGTAAAAGAGATCTGGTCACACACGTACAACTCGAGTCAGGCAAGAAAGGGACTATCATGTAGGAATACGTGCATGGCAGAAGTTAGAACCGCTAATAGCTCCACAAAGTAACAGGACGATCCAGGGATGAGTTATTAGCAAGCAAGTAGTGATTGAACCACTGCTGAGGGAGTTATTGTACTTACTTCCATTATCACCATGGGAAGAGAAAAGGCATGAGTTATTTGCTCGTGGTAAACATAACTGAGCGTCCGAGAAATAAGTTAGTTGTTAAAGAAAAATAAGGAAATTATTAAAACACAGTAGAGGACGTGAAAGATCAGCTGCAAGATGAAGTTCTGTAAGTTCATTGAGTTAGGCGACGGTTCGCTGTCAAGAATGATAACTTGTGTTACAGAAGGAATGATGGCGTGAATGTGTGGAAATAATTACAAATATCATTACCTGAGACCAGAGAGAGAAAAAATAATAAATAAATTTTTGGTGAATTAATTGGGAACATCAGTATTAACGCACCTGGTTGCCGTTACCTACACCACCACATTGTTGACCTTTTGTTCTAATGAGCCATGATTGTTTATTGTCTGACCTAGTGTTGATGATATCATAATGGTAGGTGTTGATAGTGTCAAGATGGTGGCAGTGATGGTGTTGATGGTGTCACAATGGCGGCGGTGATGGTGTTGATGGTGTCAAGATGGTGGCGGCATGGCGCTTGTGGTATCACGGTGGTGGCGGTGATGGTGTTGATGGTGCCACAATGGTAGCGGCGACGGTATTTATGGAGTAGGATGGTGGCGGCGATGGTAGTGATGGTGTGACGATGCTGGCGGGGATGGTGTTGATGGTGTGACGATGGTGACGATGATGGTATTAAAGGCTGATGGTGTAATGGTGGTGATGGTGGTGATGGTGTCATGCTGGTGGCGATAATGGTGCTAATGGTGTGCCACTGGTTGCGGTAATGACGTTGATGGTGTGACGATGGTGACAGTGATGGTGTTAATGGCGTCTTGATGGTGGCGGTAATGGTGTTGATGGTGTCACGATAGTGGCGGTGGTGATATTGTTGGTTCACGATGGTTCCGGGGAAGGTGTTGATGGTGTGACATAATTGTGGAGGTGATGGTGTTGATGGTGTCACGATGAACATAAGAATGATAGAAACTGCAGCGGGCCTATTGGTCTATACTGGGATGTCTCGTTTACACCCAACCCCTATCGCTCATATATCCATCCAACCTGTTTGAAGCTATCCAGCGTATTGGAGTTAATGATAATGTTTGGTAACTTGTTCCACTCGTCCACTACTTAACTCCTAAAGCAATGTTTACCTATTTCGCGCCTAAATCTAAAGTTTTCTAGTTTAAAATCATTGTTACGAGTTCACTCCTGGTTGGATAGTTTGAGTACCTTTCTAATTACATAGGTAGTAGGGATTAGGCAGCTACCAAACAGGGAGGTACTACCGCCTGGGAAGATATTGGAAGCATAATGTGTTGTCTAATGGTAGACCCTGCTGCCATATGGCATCACGAAAATTGTGACCAAGTCCCAGGTTGCTGATCTGACTTTCTGCCTCATTTAAACACAATTGCAGGGTCTCAATTGTTTCTCTTACTATTGACAACACAACATACATATATTGCTTCTCACTTTTGATTTTTTTCATTTTGTATTTCATTATGGTTCTATTATTATTATTATTATTATTATTATTATTATTATTATTATTATTATTATTATTATTATTATTATATTTTCGCCCTCTAGGCCCCGATGTGGGTCATTGACCTGTGCTTGGGTAGACTAATCCCCGTAAAAAAAAAATTCAACACTGGCCCATGTCCTTTGTTCACACAGAATGTAAGCTACAAAGAAACTGGAGTGGCACCTGGCTGCTTCTGATTGGCAAGCTCCAGCTCCTGGCCTGCCTCCCGATTTGACATCATCAATATTCTCATTGTTCTAGGTAGACATAGGAATCATACTTACGAAGATTTCTCACTTGGTTTGTTGTGGTTTTATATGCTGCTTCTACTGATCATCTTCCTACAGGTTATGCAAACTATCTAGTATCTTGTTATTTTGACAAGAAGCATCATGGAGAAATTTTCATCAAATAATGACGGGTGATGAGTACACCTTGCTAATTAGTTGTGCGGCTTTCCAGGTCTGTTTGATATTCGTAAATAGCCCCGGTATAACAAGATGAGATTGTACAGTGCTGAAAAAGTTCTGGACAAGCGCAGTTCGATCAACCCCTAATATAACTCCCAACCTATGCCAACCTAACTTAACCTAACCTCTTATTCCGAGGGGTAATCTAATCACGTCTAAAATCTTTGAAGATGTTTTGATCGAAATGTGCATTCCTAGAACACTTTTAAAACGGGACAATCTCTGCACGCTACACATAATGACTACTAATAGAGTTTTGGTCACCGTACTACAGTTTTGGTCACTTTACTGCAGAGTTTGGGTTACCATACCACAGAGTTTTGATCACCGTACAAAGAGTGTTGGTTACCGTACCACCGAGTTTTGGTCACCGTACTAAGAGTGTTGGTCACCGTACTAAGAGTTTTGGTCACCGTACTAAGAGTTTTGGTCACCGTACTAAGAGTGTTGGTCACCGTACTAAGAGTTTTGGTCACCGTACTAAGAGTTTGGTCACCGTGCTAAGAGTTTTGGTCACCGTACTAAGAGTGTTGGTCACCGTACTAAGAGTGTTGGTCACCGTACTAAGAGTTTTGGTCACCGTACTAAGAGTTTTGGTCACCGTACTAAGAGTGTTGGTCACCGTACTAAGAGTTTTGGTCACCGTACTAAGAGTGTTGGTCACCGTACTAAGAGTGTTGGTCACCGTACTAAGAGTTTTGGTCACCGTACTAAGAGTTTTGGTCACCGTACTAAGAGTTTTGGTCACCGTACTAAGAGTGTTGGTCACCGTACTAAGAGTTTTGGTCACCGTACTAAGAGTTTTGGTCACCGTACTAAGAGTTTTGGTCACCGTACTAAGAGTTTTGGTCACCGTACTAAGAGTTTTGGTCACCGTACTAAGAGTTTTGGTCACCGTACTAAGAGTTTTGGTCACTGTTACGACCCTAGGGTAGATCGTTACATAAACATAAATTACTTAAGTCTCAAGTTCTCCCAACAAAGGTCACGTTAACAGGTCAAAACTCTAAACTAGTCAATATAAATATGAACATTTATTAACTTATTCCCACCACCATATATAAACAGTCAGGGTCAAAAGTCTTGAACACTTAGAAATATCTGGCATCTACTTCTGAGTTATACATACTTGATTGGGATATATTAATAACACTACTTGTCATCACACATTATGCCTGAACCACAAGATGGGATAAAACTCTCCTCAATACCCAAGATCTTCGGGTACTTCCTGTCAAATGTTCAACACATTTGACCGACTGTACATAAAATAAATGTATAACAATAATAATAATAATATGACAAGATGTTTGGAAGTGGCTGAGTAAGGATGGAAGGTCCAACAACATCACACAAAATCAATATCAAGCAAAACAATTCTCAAAGTCACATGCCAACTCCCAAAACACCAGAGAGGGTATACTACTTAACTTAAGGACATCTGTGCCTTGAACAGTGTTTCTCAAGCTGGGGGTCATGGCCCCCAAGGGGATCACGGCAAGATTTTAGGGGGGCCATGGCGGGCTAGTGTAAGTAGTATATGTTTGGAAAAATATTGGAAACTCTGATTCAACTTTTTGTTGTTACTTTGCCTTGCTAGGGGATAATTTTTTTCTTTTTTTTGTCATTGTGTGTAATCATAATACCGGTACGGTACAGTTTTGATATTTACACAGTATGGTGCAGCAGCTAGTTTTTCATTTCTAACGGATTCGCTCAGATTGCACGATTCTAGTTCCTGTTCAGACGAATTCCTTGATCTCAGAACGATTCTGCTGCCAGAGACCTCTATGAAGAAAAATCTCTGACTGTATTCTGGTGTTCAATGTATCAGTCATATCCAAAAGTTAGTGAGATCGCACTTCGAGTAATCAGGATCTTATGAAAGGAGAGTCAAGAACCATGGGTTTCCAAACAACCGTTAGAGATTGACATCTCTTTACTACGAAAAGAATCACAATAATTGGCACCACTCACACAAATATTAAATAAACAGCACTGGAGTCAAACAAATACTTGAAACAAAACAATCAATACAACAAAGTACAGGTATTTCCTACGGCTGTAAATGAATATTCCTCCTTACCAGCAAGGTGGAATGTTATGGCAACGCGGTGATCCGCTCTCTGGAAATATGAATCACAGCCATTATTACTCTAAGTTTAACTCCAGGTTGGTCTCACTAAGGCGAGAAGGTCAGGATGTGCAGAAAGAGAGCGATAACCACTGTCTCGCACAGTCGGTCGTGGAGCGTCGTCCAGGAAGGATCGTCAGAGACTCACCCATACCAGAAGACTCACATAGTCTTCCTCGAAGGCGAGGAGGTAAGTAGTACATATTATCTTAGGACCCTTGGTACATGATGCAGAGACGCTCAACTTTCATATCCTAAAGGAATGGAGAGATAAAACAAAACATGATTTAATGTTCGAAAGAGAGAGAGACAGCTTTAACTGGATCTATGGAGCAGTTACACCTGGGTAGCTCTCCTTGTTGGACCAATGAAAACTCTGCCATCTGATTGGTCGTTTTGCCTCGCTGACTCTGCCCCCTTTACTGACTTCACTGAACATTTAAATGTATTAATTATTGGCTAGACACACAAATCTAGGTTTATTTCCACTACCTATATTCTCAATATATATATATATATATATATATATATATATATATATATATATATATATATATATATATATATATATATATATATATATATATATATATATATATATATATATATATATATATATTCAACGCCAGCAAGTGCAGCGTACTTAATATTGGAAGAACAAATACTGTCAATGTATACAGCCTTAACAACATCAACCTAGAGAAGTCGACTTGTGAAAGAGACCTAGGGGTACTTGTAAGCCCGGACCTACGGCCTAGAAAACAGTGCGTTAATGTTCGAAATAAGGCAAACAGAGTATTGGGTTTTATATCTAGAAGTGTAAGTAACAAGAGTGCAGAGGTCTTATTGCAACTATATCTTGCGCTAGTCAGGCTGCACCTCGATTATGCGGTTCAGTTCTGGTGCCCATGTTATAGAATGGATATAAATTCACTAGACTCGGTGCAGCGAAGAATGACAAAAATGATTCCGGGACTTGGAAACCTTCCATATCAGGATAGGTTAAACAAACTAAGCTTGCATTCCCTAGAAAGACGAAGAGTGCGGGGAGATATGATAAAAGTATTTAAGTGGGTGAAAGGAATCAATAAAGGGGATATAGATAAAGTTCTTATAATATCCGAGCAGGATAGGACTCGGAGCAAAGGATTTAAGTTGGATAAGTTTAGGTTTAGGAGGGAGATAGTAAGGAACTTGTTCACAAATAGAGTGGTGGACGAGTGAAACAAGCTTAGCAACTTTGTAGTAAGTGCTGGAACGCTGGAAAGTTTCAAAAGGAGGCTGGATAGATTCATGGATGATAGAGAGTGGTAGTAACTCTCGACAGGAGCTGCCATGCACAGGCCAATCGGCCTATTGCAGAGTCCTTATTTTCTTATGTTCTTATGTACTTATATATATATATATATATATATATATATATATATATATATATATATATATATATATATATATATATATAAAGCTTTCCTCTTTATTCAAAACATCTTCAGAGGCAACTGAATTACAGAGACTGAGAGAGAGCTTATGTACACAGGATGACCTTACAAAACATGAGGTCAGGTAAAAAAAACATGACATCCACTAATCCACACACATACCACACTGCAAACATAAGAAGAGCTTATAAGAACGGGCGACATAACTAGTCATGTCAAGTCATCTATAATACATCTACCTTACATGCTTTCAAAGCATTTTTAGCCTTGGGCCACTGACAAATAAATTTGCGTCACATATTATCAGTTTTGTCCTGACCATCACTAGGGTTTAAAGAATACATTTCCCTAATCAAACTAGCTTCAACCAGAAGTCTTTCTGTGACACAAAATGATTTATACACTTCTAAACTGTTTTCCTAATCAATGGGATAATTATTATTCCTAACATGAACGAACAAGGCACTGCTCTCAGATGCTGTTCTAATATTGTACTTGTGCTGTTTAATTCTGAGTTGTAATGCTTTCCCTGTCTGTCCTACATAATTCCCATTACAGTTGCTACATGGAATACAGTAAACACTTCCATTTACATTAAATTTTGGTCTATTCTTAATTAGTATATTAGTAATAGTTGAGTCATACTTAAAACAACATTTATAATTTAAGGGTTTGAAATAACAGGACAAATTCATTGCGATAGGGTAGTCAAAATACTCTTAAATGTAGGAACTTGCCGCCTGGCTTGAGTAGAATAAAAGGATTGCTTAGCCCTTTTAAAACAACGATCAACAAACAATGAAGGGTACCCAAGTTTTCGTGCAATGGACTGAATGTGTTGCAGTTCTTCTTCAGTATATTCAGGGTCACAAATATGTAAACATCTAAAAAAAAAAGCAGAAAAAACTGACATTTTGGTAGACTCAAGTTGACTCGATAAAAAATGTATGAAGCTATCTACCTGTGTAGACTTTCTGCACACTTTAAATTTATAGATATGTCCATTTCTCATAATAAGCATATCAAGAAATGGGAGGGATCCATTTATCTCTCTTTCACCATGAAGGTAATACTAGGAACAAGATAATTAAGCTTGTCTAAAAATTCCATAGAGTCACTGTTTCTAGGCCATAAACAAGGAACATCATCTACAGTACATATCTATACCATGAAGGAATAAAGTCCACCATATTGGGTAGTAATCTAGACTCAAAAAACTCCATATAAATACAGGCTAGAGGAGCAGAAAGACAATTACCCATGCTCATGCCTCTGAAGAGGTCTTGAATAAAGACGAAAGCTAAGGTTCTCCATTGTTTCCCTTTTCCCTGTGATTTTATCAAGATCTTAACCACGTTTCCATTGTGGATAAGCCTTTTAGCACTGATGAGGTTTTGCTTCGTCAGGTAAAGCAGTTGTGGTGGTGAGGACTCAGCCCAAGATGAAGTACCTGAAACCTCTGTTCTACGTCATGCCAGGTGCCTCCCACAATGACTTTTGTTCATCACTATATTACTGGGTTTATACACCAAAATATAGTTACCTATTTCACCATGCACTTTTTTCATCAATGTGGTTCATCTCCCCTCTTATACAGTTCTAATTCACCAGGATATAGTTCTTGTTCAGTTCTATGTATTTCTTTAGCAGCATCTTCTTGTTCACTACCCTATAGCTTTCACCATCATGTAGTTCCTCTTCACCACCATATTTATCTTCTTCCCCATTGTCGACGTCTATTTGATTATTCTCTATTGCTTGTTCACGACCAAATAATTTTTAAATCCTATCATTTGGTTCTTATTCATCACCGCGTAGTTCTAATTCAACACCATATAGTTTACGATCACTAACATTTAGTTTTTGTTCACCACCATATAATTATACTAAACCAGGATATTGTTCGTGTTCACCACTATAGAGTTCTACTTCACAAGCACATAGTTTTTGTTCACAACCATGCAGTTCTATTTCACCACGATACAGTTCATGCTCATCACCATATAGTTTGTTTTTCACCATAGTATAGTTCTACTTCACCATCTTATAGTTCTACTTCATCATCTTACACAGTAGTTCTTGTTCACCACTATATAGTTCTACCCCAGCAAAATATATAGTAGTTTTACTTTTCCATTATGTAGTTCTACTTCATCACCACACAGTTCTACTTTACTATAAACAGTACTTCTACTTCATCACCACACAGCGAAGAGACTGGTGCTGGTGGCGAGGAGAGTTTTAAAGGTTCCGGGTCGTTTGGGTCACGAACACCGGGAACATTACCTATGAGAACACGAGCGAATTTAATGGGCGCTCTTACCACATTAGACCAACCAATGAAATAGGGGCAACTCAGGTAGCACCTAACAACAGGGAACTGGTCAACACGACCTAAATAATCGGCGACACTAACCTTCGGGCAGCTGGAGACGTCAGCGTCAGGCAGGGCTTCTTCAGAGACAATAATGCACGAGCAACCAGTGTCCCTGATGAAAGTAGATGCCCTAGACCCATTTATTGTTCCGCTGACACAATAACGGGGGCAGCTCCTGTCCTCCAAACAGAATCCGACTTTGTAGCTGGGCTGATGAATGTCGGTGGACTTGAAGGCGCGGGGATTCCTGGGACAGAGAGAACGAATGTGCCCTTCTTCTCCGCACGGCCGGTGAACTACTCTCTTCTCCTGGGGATGGTTCCTCGGAGGACGGAGGCGTCGTGTTCTTCACTGGAGGAGTGGGAGACTTAGGGTAGGCGTTGCGAGCGGATGCCCAGTTGTCAACAAGTTGTACAGTTCCTCCAAGCGTCGCTGGCCGGTGTTCCTTGATGAAAATTCTCAAGTATGGCGGCAGAGAAGACAAAATCTGATCCAATATCATGAAGTTAGTGAAAGACTCAAAGGTTCCTCTGACGTCTCTAGCCATTACTGAAACAAGCGACCCAGGTGGATCGAAAACTGCTGGTATGTTTCTCCTGCTCTAATCTTCGATCTGCGGAAATCAACACGATAACCATCAAGAGTTTTGTTAAATCCTCACAAGAGAGCTTGCTTCAACGAAGAGTAATCTCTAGTGATGTCGGCAGACAGGGAAGTATAAATCTCTACCGGTTTACCACTCGGTAGGCTGCCCAACCTTACAGCATAGCTATCTTGGTCCACACCAAGCAGCTCGGTTACCCGTTCAAACCTAACAAGGTAGGAGGCGATGTCTTCTCCTTCACGGTACACAGGCAAACTGGGTTTTACCACATTGTCTTGTATAGGGCCAGAGGATTCTGATCTACTTTGAGCATTAATCCTAGCTAGTTCTATTTCCCTTTCTGCCTGCAACTTAGCTAATTCGAACCCTCTTTCTCCGTTGCATTCCCCCCTCTCTCTCTCTCTCTCTCTCTCTCTCTCTCTCCCGAGCCTGTTGGGTGACCACATACTGACCAACCTCAGCACCTGTCAGACCCAGGGCCACCGCTTGACCTTTCAATTCCTCAAAACTAGACAAAATGATACGAAAGGCCAAGAGCAAAAGTGACACATTAACAACTTACCCCACAACTAGCCTAAAGTAACTACTTAATGGCTCAATCAAACCAGTAAATGATTCAATCCGGCTGGAGGAAACCTTGTTTCACACCCAGTCCCGTTGAATCACCTCAGGGAAAAGAAACAACACCAGGTGGATCAACAACAAAGTGCTAATGACAGCATCCACAGTGCACCCCAACCAACACTATTTAACTTTCCTAGTACAAGGGAGAGCAACAAAATTAGCACAACAGACGGAAGGGATAAGGGGCCGTATTAGTCATTACGACGATAATGACGATCACGATCATCATCTCGATGATCGTGTGTCGGGATGCAACCACCCAACGCTGAGTGCCATATTCCTAGGCACTTACATGAGCGTGTAAACACGGCAGCTCGTGTCGGATGGCAAAATTTTTTTTGGCCATGCGCGTGTGCCAAATGTATTATTTCACATAATTAGAAAGACGATTTAGAGAGATATTTAGTTGCTATTTTATACCGGCACAATAATATATTGTAAAATATATTTTTTTATAAAATTGAACTATATTATCTGTTCGAAACAAAATAGATAATTTTTTCATCTGAGTACTTGACAACAATGTTTGCGCTCGTGTTATCAAACATGGAGGTAGTAAGAGAACGTTCTGCAGCTCTGTCTGAAACCCAACACATGGCACTTTAGCGAAGGCCAATCAGTGAGGACAGGTCTACAAGCAACACCATAAATGATAGGAAAAGAAAGGCCTGGGATGAAATTGTAAAAATTAAAAGTAAATAGATTTTTTTTAACCAAAGAGTGGTGTTGTGTGTATCATTAAAACTGTGATGTAGCCGAGTATTGCAGAATTTTAGAGCAAATTATTTGTATTGATAGTAAGCTGTATTTATTCTTTATTTTATTAGTGACAGTAAATATATAAGTTAAAGAATAAAGAAAATGAAATCTAATGCTTACTTATGTCGTCATATTTCTGCCTGACACACACAAGACATTGTAGATGGTAAACCTTAGCTTATATCTTGTTGAAAATGAATATTAACGTTTATACTAAACTATATTACTGGACCAAAAACTGTGATATTTCCCTTGCTAACTCAAGATAGAGTGAGCTCAGTTGGCTTTTTTTCTTTTTTTAAGGGGATAAACCCACCTGTAATAATGATAATAAAGAAAAAATAATACTAATCAATAGTTAGAAACGCTATATGTACAGTATGTTGTCTTGTCAATAGTAAGAGAAACAATTGAGATCCTGCAATTGTGTGTAAATGAGGCAGAAAGTCAGATCATCAACCTGGGACTTGGTCACAATTGGTGATGCCATATGGCAGTAGTACCTACTTGCCTCATTCCGGAAAACATAGTGAATTTCGTGGTTCAGATGGTTGAAATTTTATTACTACTACGACAAAAATATTGTATGAATGAATAAAGATAAGAAACATACCTTAAACGATAATAGAAGTTGTTAATTGTTAATTGAAGATGAGGCTCACAGCACAGACAGCAGTCGTCATCGAAGTCGGAGCTGTGACGTCAACATTCCAATAATGTTTCAAGTTCATAACAGTGTTGTGAAAGTTCATTTATCCGTTTTAACACTTCTTTTAATTGTTCTTATCAAAAAAAAATAATATAATTCGACGTAGACATTTGTAATATAAAGTACTGGAAGAACTTTCATAAAATATAATGATGATTATTATTTGTCGTAAGGCAGCTATCGGGTGGGGGTAGCCACCCGATGTTGTTTCAGGGATATGCGTATGGTTCCCTTCCGATACCTCGTTTATCGGGATGACTATTAATAGACCAGCACGAACACTATCAATTGGCATTGTGCTTCGTAATGACTATCAATCCGGCCCAAGGACCGAACAACACTTATTTCCGGGCCTCAGACAGCAAGAGGCGCGCACACAGCGACTTACAACACCGGAACGAATGTTAGCCCTCAGAAACCAAGGTCAGAGACAATCCTGGTAAGGTCGCCACTGGTAAGGGCCTGGGACTTAGGGAAAGAAATCCCTTACCATCCTAAGCAGGATCTTATAAGAGGAAAGTCAAGAACCATGGCTTTCCAATGGATAACAAACAACGGTTCGAGAGTGACATCTCTTTACTCTGAAAATAACACAAAACTCTGACACCACTCAAACAAATATCATAACAATTAAGGGATATTTTTTCTTATTGGAACCATATATGGGCTTGTTTATATTGAGTGTATATTCTAACATCTATTTATGTCATGTAAGATTACGTCTAGGAATCTTTACTACTAATCAGCTCCATTGTTACAAGACTACAATGGATTCATTCGTAAGTTTACTCTAGTATTGCGACTCTGCCACATAACCGTAACCGTCATCACAGGGGGTAAAGAAACTCTCTGAAACGACTGTACACCCACTAAAGAACTGTACACCCGTGCCATATTGTATAATGCCGTAAGGGTGACGAATAATATTTTAGTGGGTGTACATGTTTATATAAATGCTCACGACCACACAGGTGTATCTACTCATACAGGTGTAAACCCATTAAAAAATATTAGGATTTATTTGAAGATAATTTGCTTTCACATATAATGAAACTAATTACCCGTGGAACAAATCAACGAATTTGCATTTTTTTTCTCCTAACAGTGTTGTTACCAGTACTTATTAAATGGAAAGTCCTGGCTGACGAGGATTCATGGAGAACGTATCCACATCCCATTAGGAATGTCAATACACTCCAAACATTTATTAAAAAAAAACTGAACGAGAAGAATGATCAATTTGTAAGGGACGATGAAGATTTCAGAGGCATCATTTATAATAATAGAAGCCAAAATGCGGTCACCATGTTAGATCCTGATCCTTCAAGCATCAAAAATACAATAATTGTGACTAATGAAGCAAACTCAGATGAAGACGCCCAGATTAAGGAAGACGAATGCCTTGACGGATGGGTCACCAGGCCAGAGAAACTTGGAGTTCGCGCTGGCCAAATCTTGAATCACCTGGGCGTTCCCTCCTTCGCCTTAGTCACCCAGTGTGAAGCAGGTCTGTCACACTTTCCTCCTGTGCTGTTCTGTTTCTTCTTTTAAAATCAAAATTATCTTTTTATTTCTAAAATCTTGCTCCTTCAGGCCTGTACTGAAGAACACTGACCTCCCCAGAGCTGCATGCTTTATGTTGCCACGTCCACATTAGTCTTATTTTTGAACGAAGATCAATATTTTTATTTCCTATCATTAATAGACGCTACATGAAATTTATGTTATATATAATTATTTTTCGATTCCTTCCCCAAATATTTAATGTTATTCAGATATGCACTGAGTCTTGTGTTGGTACAGGTTGGTGTAGGGAATAAAGTGTTGTATTGGTACAGGTTGGTGTAGGGAATAAAGTGTTGTATTGGTACAGGTTGGTGTAGGGTATAAAGTGTTGTGTTGGTACAGGTTGGTGTAGGGAATAAAGTGTTGTGTTGGTACAGGTTGGTGTAGGGAATAAAGTGTTGTGTTGGTACAGGTTGGTGTAGGGAATAAAGTGTTGTGTTGGTACAGGTTGGTGTAGGGAATAAAGTGTTGTGATGGTACAGGTTGGTGTAGGGAATAAAGTGTTGTGTTGGTACAGGTTGGTGTAGGGAATTAAGTGTTGTGTTGGTACAGGTTGGGTATTGGTCACGACGCGGTTGCTGCTGCAGGAAGCAGGTGAAAAAGGCGTCAGCTCGTGTTTGTTCGACTCAGTGTCATCGATGAAGAAGGCTGTGATGACCAGCCCATACGACGCCCGATGTTTCTCCCGCCGCCAGTGGACTGTGGTGCTCCTGGGTGGCCACACCTGGGCCTCGGACCTCATCCACTCCACCAGTAACCTTCGCTTTTATGACCAAGTTAGTTCTTTGGCCTCTTTAATCAGGTGAATTATTTAATAGTCCTTAACGACCAAGTCCCTCTCTTTCACCTCTCTCTTACCTGAAGCAAGTGTAACAAAACGGAGTGTTTTTTGAGGGACTTTTGATAATTCATTAACAGAAGAGTGTGGGAGCGAGACCCTAGCGGCCTTGCCCCTGGGCGAGAAGGAAAGAGGGTGAGAAGGAGTGAAAGGAAGGAAGGGAGAATAAGAGCGGAGCAAAAATAATATTTGAGTTATATTAGAGATACAATTATGAAACACCAATTTTACTTAATTAAACTGATAAGAAGATAATGTAATAGACTGGTCATGATTTGAAAAAAAAATAGTTTCCATCACAGATGAGTCAAAGGGCATTTGTTCAAGAAGTGAATGTATTGGAATAAATGTTCTTTTCTTGGCTGTGTCAGCTCTTAACCAAAGTTGTGTGTGCGACATAGTGATAGAGAGCAAGAAGGAGCAGAAATATATCAGTGTTTCGAGCTATACTATTATGATTAGTAGCTTATAATATGATATTAAGATGTTATGTTACAAAATAATGATATTATTGTCTTTACAGCGTGTACACTGGGTGGTGGTAGGCTCGGCTGGGGTCATCACGTCTACGCTGGCCCAATACCACCATACACAGAGGGTCACGTGGCTGCGCTGGTCATCTCGGGCACGAGGTCAGTTCAGGTCATTCCCACTACAGCAATAACATAATTTCTCCACTTACATGTAGGCCCCAAAAATGTAACGTCACTTTTCCCATCCTTGCAATTTGAAACGCTGGATAGAAAGATTTGACATATTTTCTAGTGCCAGTATATATATATATATATATATATATATATATATATATATATATATATATATATATATATATATATATATATATATATATATTGTTACGCCGTCTCTTAATTTACTTAAATATCCAGGTTCTAGGCGTAACCAAACAAAAAAGTGAAGTAAATTAAAAGGGAATAAAAATAAATAAAGTAAACCTTTAAGAATTTAATTAATTAAATATTAACACAATAAAGAGCCTCGTAGGCTGTCACAACAAATTGATTCACCATCGAAACTTTTAAGACACAAATGATACTAAACATCGAAACATCAAAAGAATAAAAATAAAGCATTGGATTACGTTAACACTGCATAAACATATAAAAACTAACACTGAAATTAACTAACGTGAAACAACACTGAATTACTTAAATGTAACTAAGCAAATACTGATGGACATAAATAGAGACATAAATAGGTACTCACATAGATATACCACATTGGTGGCGACAGGAACAACACAAATAAATTAAGTATAAGTAACAGGTGACGAGTGTCACTCAAAGGATGTGAACTGTATGACAAGAGGACTGAACTAACTCCGTCAGTTGGTGGGTCCTATATATAAGGTCGGCACCCGCCACGCGACCCGCCGGTGGGTCGTTTAACGATGCAGATGGTCGTTAGAGCAACACAGAATGCTTGTTACAATACTAAATGAAGAAATAAGATGGGCTTGAACAAATAATAACAGTTAAAACCTTAACAGCACAGGGTAAGGTGACTAGATTATATAATAGTAAATATAACACATCATTACAGGAATAATATGGAACAACATGGAAGCATGTTATATATAACAAAAATAGAAAAATACGACACGGTCGTAACAATATATATATATATATATATATATATATATATATATATATATATATATATATATATATATATATATATATATATATATATATATATGCTGATATCCCCAAGGAAATAAGAAATCCTAAATCACCATAATGTTTATGTGACAGACTGGGTGGTGCTAGTGAGCAAGGCCACCGCTCAGGGGTTGGTGGCCAGGGAGGCTGGGCGGTGGGTGGAGAGTGGACAACACACCCACTTTCGTGTCTCCCGACCTCTCACACCACCGTTCCCCACCAACTTCTTCCACTCTCCTCTCAGAGTTGTCAGCCGCCACCCCACTGACCAAAGTAAGTATTGCTGATACGCTCTGTCATTTCCTATAAAACCTACGTTCTTAACTATTTCAGACCTGCCTTTGTGTGCTATATTACTAACTTCAGCTCTAGTTAGGTTTTTCCACAAACTTCCAGAGACAGTTACACTGGGATGGGATACCATCTCTGCGAAACCTTACGTACCAAGACCGACCAAATGCTTCGTGTGCCAGCGATACGGTCACCTAGCCAAAAAATGCAGGGCACCAGAGGACGTGTGCTCCAGTTGCGCGACTTCTGGACACCAGCATTACGACTGTGAGATCGAGAACAAGAAATGTGCTACCTGTGATGGTCCTCACTCGACCTCCGACCGGTCGTGTCCCAAATGGAGGGAATATGTAGGATCACGAAGGTGAAGCGCACCCAGAACCTCTCCTTCAAGAATGCACTTCTCAAAGTGAGGAAAGCCAGCAAGAAAGACCACTCTGAACTTGGAAACCTTCAAGAACAAGAGCCAAAAGAACAAGAAAAAACTGACCAAGAACCAGAAGAACAAGAAGAAACGGACCAAGAACCAGAAGAACAAGAAGAAACGGACCAAGAACCAGAAGAACAAGAAGAAACGGACCAAGAACCAGAAGAACAAGAAGAAACGGACCAAGAACCAGAAGAACAAGAAGAAACGGACCAAGAACCAGAAGAACAAGAACGAAAAGAACCAGACGAAGAGAAGCTGGAAGTACAGGAAAAAATATAAATAAAATAACAAGACTACAGCCGCAATGACCATCAATGTCGACGGACATAAAACTAAAGGAAAAATAAAAATAGAATAATATGGTTTTAACTAATAACTTTTTAAATATTGCTAGAATAATACAATTGCTAACTTGCTACATGCTTAAAGACCTTCTTCATTGAAGCCCAGTAATACCATTAAAAAAAATGTTCTACCTTTCATGAATTTTATTGTTGTTGGACTAGTGTGTTACTTACCTTATGACTGGTGATTCAGCCTTTGTACAAATAAACAGATTCCCAAATCGGGTGATATGTGCCATGTACAGATGGGGTCAGGAATTAGTGATTCAGTCGGACCAGAGGGTCAACAGGCCATTCCACCCTTACTTGACAGCGAGTTGAAGTGCCGAACACACATATTACTTGAATGATCTAACAACCATTGTGAAGGCCACCGCCATTTGGGTTAATGTAAGAAGCTTATAAAGGGGTGTTGTACAGTGTCTCTACTGGCGATCATCCAGGTTATACTTTGGAAAAATAAACTTCAATAGACATTGTATAGTAAATATTATTTACAAACTTAATAGCAGAGGTGGTTTAAGGAAGTGAATGGCTGCCCCTCACACACTATCCATGGCCCCATTATGACCACCCACCCACCCCCCACACACACACAATTTCCGAACTATAACTTCCTTCCCCCACCTCTAATCTTCTTTCACCCTCCTTTCTCTAAAAAAGAAAAAAAAGAACGTGTGGCCATGTTCGTGTGTCTGATGTTGACACAACGGGCTATGTGAAATAATACTTCCACTGTATCTCTCTCTCTCTCTCTCTCTCTCTCTCTCTCTCTTTATCTACCTGTTTATATGTGTCTGCAAAGCCACACTAACAAATTTGCTGTTAATGTGGCAACAATATACACGCAGACTAGAGGCCTCTACTTTACTCCCGATATTTGTTAGTGAATGAATTACTAGAATAGATTCGATTAAGAAACAAAATATATTACATACTGTACAGACAAGAGGAAGTCGAGGAAACAAGCAAGGAGTCCAAACATTTTGTAATATTCAGGTAGAAACAAAAGAGAAAAAAGTTACCCTGGTTGGGATTTCAAATTACGCCATATCGGTGAGTGGTTAGAACGATGTAAGTGGCGTTGAACAGTGTTTTATCAAACAACTGTAATAATTACACAATTAGATAACTTTTGAATATACACTGTAATGGCATAATGATTACAATGATGGTGCTCATTGTTCTAATATTCATCCCAAATTAAACATTGTCAAACACTATTCATAATGCTTGACGCAATATTCGCCATAATTTGGGAAATTATTGCTAATGTTATATATCAGATGTTCGGAGAAGATCCTTTTTTCTGGAAAGTGACGTAATATCCGTTGCCAGTATTCTGTTAAGTAACATAGTAAATTGTCGTAATATTTATGATGGTTTCCTAGTTTGAGGTCTATTATTGGGAACGATTCATATCTTCATATCAATGAAGAATCGGTTTTGAATGTGTAGTCAACATTAATACAGTTTAGGGCTATGTTCTTAATATCATGTCTTAGCTTGATGCTGTGTGACTACTGGCTTATCTTGTTTAGCATCGGACTTCCCCATTGTACTGTATTCTAAGATATACAGGTAATGGAGATACGCACAAACACATTATGCATCATATGATTTGCTTCATTTAGTAAACATGACATTGCATTACTCGTCATCATTCGTCATTAACGTCGTCAGCTCATGTTACTAAATATCCTCCTTCCCATCTCATGTGTCGTGTCTTGACCCAAATCACTCAGCTTCGTTACAATGTGTGTTGGTGAAGAGGTTCGACACAGCGATTCGCCTTCAAGAGAGGGTAGAACGACCTGCTCACCCTCTGGCCCCACTGTATCACGGACTCCTGACCCCGACTGTACAAATGTGTCTCCATACATAAATAAATATGAAAGTTGTTTATACGCATGGATGACTCTATTTATATGCTATCTCTGATTCTAACACACACACACACCTACATACATAGAGCTGACGCCCAACTCCGTGGGTCGGTGTTACTACGCTAAGGAGGACGGCAGGAACATCACCAAGTGTACGGGTTATGTAGGCGAGATGCTCATGCTGCTCACCCAAGACCTCAATCTTACCATAGTCAACAGTCTCGTTCATAGCTGCGGTGTTTCCACTGCTAATGGCACCAGGGTCACCGTTATAAGCTATGGCGTAAGTTTCTTCTTGAAAGTAATCTTAAGTTGTTTCAATCTGAATCTTATCACTTAAACAATATGATATATCACATAATTGTAAGGTTACTTTTCAAAGTCTGCAAAAATTCCATCTACTTGGTGGTGCTGGGGGAGACAGGAAGCAGATATCGCCCTGGGCACCTGCACCATCACCACTGACAGACTCAAAGTGGTAGACTTCACTGAGTTCTTCGCTGCCATCAGATCCACCATCGCCAGTGCTGAGCCCGCCCTGGTCCAGTCACCTTTCTTGATATTCAATGTCCTCTCCAGCTTCGTGAGTTGTATCGGTTTGCACCATGCATGATATAACCGAAGTGTGGTCCAAGTGTGTGTGTGATGTTGTCTCTTTACCTGGTAGCTGATTTGTTATTGCTTTAATGTGGAAGTTATTTAAAAAGAAAGGATGCTAATGCTAATAAGGTAATAAATAAAGATTTTTCTCTCTAGGGGATGACCCATTGCATGAGCTTTCTTTAGGTATTCTAAGAAGAGCTTTTGTCTTATTATAAATGAAAGTACCTGAGCACCTCACCTTACTGCCTTCCCTCAACTATCTAAGCAGGCCAGATAAGACACCACAGCCACATATGTTATCCTTCATATAGAACAGGGTAGTGCATGAAGGATACTTTCCAGGCACTTTTGTGCGTATTCATTATCCCATACTCAGGTATTTTAGGTCTACCAACGGTGTTCAGAAGCTTTAAGAACATTTCTACCCACTTCCTCAATCTCCAAATATCAGAAGCACCCTCAAACTTTTGAATTGTTGAAAATTTGAAAGTTTTTGGGAAGACAATGAGACCTGTGTCTGTTGGTGAGTTAGTCAGTATCCACAAAGTGAAATTTGTGCGAAGACTGGTTAGATAATATGGAAGAATGGGATATTGCAGTACTGTATAATCCTTATAAAGTAAGATAAGGTTAGAAAATGTGTAACTACATAATGTTGTAGTGTATGTGCATCCCTAAGATGATGTGGGACACCACTATTGGCAGAGAAAGCGAGAGATCGATCCCTCGACAACAACTGTCATGTTTATCTTAACGGGGGGAATGTTATGTGGCATCGAATATATATATTGGATTTAGAGGTAATTTACCTTACCTGTTCAAAAGTAATTATCCTGCTTGTTCAGTAGATAGGAATATATTTGATAATATTTTGTTCCTTTATATATATATATATATATATATTCTCTTTCCTGGGACAGACGTGGATGGTGGTGGCGGTGTACGTGTTGGTGGTGACGGTGGTGGTTTGGGTCGTTGCCAGGATCTTGGGTTCAGTGGATCACCACTACGCCAGCTCAGTCACACATGCCTTCGCTCTCATCTTCAAGGCTAACCTCTTCCAAGGTGAGGTCTAGTTTCCTGTTGTTAGAAGCTGGTCTTCGTTATTAGAAATTCAGGTTCTCTCGATAATAATGTATGTTGTTTTTACAAATTCGTTATCACCCTGCCAGGATTCGAACCCACAATCTTATGATTGTGACAGGGTACGTTACCTCTGGGCCACCAGGACACTAAAAGCAGTCCTAGACTCTGTTATATTTCACACAAATTGGAAATTGCATTTTTGCCAAATGGGGATATTTTTTCTTTTTACCATTATAACTTAATGGAAGGCAATTCGCGTGTGATAACACTTGCTCTGCTTCCTTCAAGTCTTCCTTTGCCATTAAACGACGTTCTAACCTAAAGTAGGTTATGTTAGGTCAGGTTAGGTCAGGCTATATATGAATGCTATTCATTTGCCTGCATCATGATTGTCTCAACTCTACGTGATCGTCTATGGACAGTCAAAAGGTTAAAAAATAAAAATGAAAACATACATTGATGTTATTGCTATTAGGCAGACAAGACGTTCCTTCCCTCGACTAGTGGTGACGTCATCAACTGAGATTATTTCCCATAAGGAAGTGTTGAGGGAGAGGTTTAGTGTTTCTCCCTAACTCGGCCGAGCCTGGCAGAGTACCGTCAACCATATACAGAGGTTGCCCGGACAGACTATCGCTGACTTAATTACATGGTAGTTCCTCGCTGCGCCCCGACTGCCACGAGGGACAGAGGACAGGAGAAATGGTAATAGAAGGCTTTGATCATCTCATTCTATCTTGTGTAATTAAAGCATTTTTCTAGTCAAGTTTGGCGACTACTTTGTCATCTCAGGAGTCGTTGATGAAGGGGGTCAATCCTATGGTATGGAATGATTACTTTGTGTTACCTGTATAGTTTCGTGTGGCAAGGGTCGCGTGGATGAGTGAGTGGATGGGTGACTTGGAAAGATAAAATTATAAAATCTACCTTCCACAGCACACAGTCATCAGCCTTGGAGTGTGAGCGTGCGAGCGGTGGTAGCTGTGAGCTGGGTGGGAGTCATCACTGTGGCGGGAGTCTACTCCGGCAACCTCACAGCCTGGCTCTCTCTTCCCAGGTATAGTAACTCTCAAGGTATAGTCACTTCTCAGAAATAGGTGCTTTCAAGGTATAGTCCCTCTCATAGTATGGTCTCTCATTATAAGTATATAGTCAGTTCCAGATATAGATTCTCCCCACTTCGATATAGTCACTCCCAGGTATAGTCACTCCCTAAATTATAGTCTCTCCCCAAGGGCGTGTCCATAATTACTTTGTTATAGTGTCTTTTATAACCTAAATTATTGTAGTTAAGTTCTGAAACTCATAAGTGGTAGATTCTTGAGGTAAATAATACTTTAGTCTTTTCTGTGGTGTATTAAATTGACACAGTAGGTACGCTTGATGAGATTTGGGAATCCTCTCCAGAGAAAAGTCTGAGTAACACTCGGAGGCTACCCTTAGACAAGTGCGGTACTTCCCTGTTAAGTGATTATAAGCAACCTGTCTCACTTAGGAGATGTTACCTCCTTTTATCTATCTTCTCCTGAAGTGTTCCACGTCCTCCTAAGCTTGTCTCACCTAGGAAATGTCACCTAGAGCGGAGAGCTGTTAAGCCAACTTGTTGTCAGTTTTTGGATATATTGACCTCATGAAGGTATGACCCTGCTAGCTCGGGCCTGAGTTGTTGTGACTAACAGGCCCACTCGAGTGTTGTGCTGACATAGGCGCTTCCCCGGTTTTAGTCACTCCCCAGGTATAGTCACCCCCAAGGTATAGTCTCTCCCCAGGTTTAGTCACTTCCCAAGTATAGTCACTCCCCAAGTATAGTCACTCCCCAAGTATAGTCACTCCCCAGGTATAGTCACCCCCAAGGTATAGTCACTCCAAAGGTATAGTGACTCACCAAGTATAGTCACTCCCCAAGTATAGTCACTCCCCAAGTATAGTCACTCCCCAGGTAGAGTTACTCCCCAAGTATAGTCACTCCCCAGGTAGAGTTACTCCCCAAGAGTCACTCCCTAGGTATAGCCACTCTCATTGTATAGTCTCTCTCCCAGTATAGTTACTCCCCAGGTATTGTCACTCCCTAGGTATAGCCACTCTCATTGTATAGTCTCTCTCCCAGTATAGTTACTCCCAGGTGTGTCACTCCCTAGGTATAGCCACTCTCATTGTATAGTCTCTCTCCCAGTATAGTTACTCCCCAGGTATTGTCTCTCCCTAGGTATAGCCACTCTCAATGTATAGTCTCTCGCCCAGTATAGTTACTCCCCAGGTATTGTCACTCCCTAGGTATAGCCACTCTCAATGTATAGTCTCTCGCCCAGTATAGTTACTCCCCAGGTATTGTCACTCCCTAGGTATAGCCACTCATTGTATAGTCTCTCGCCCAGTATAGTTACTCCCCAGGTATTGTCACTCCCTAGGTATAGCCACTCATTGTATAGTCTCTCGCCCAGTATAGTTACTCCCCAGGTATTGTCTCTCCCTAGGTATAGCCACTCATTGTATAGTCTCTCTCCCAGTATAGTTACTCCCCAGGTATCGTCTCTCCCTAGGTATAGTTTCTCCTCAGGTTTACTTCACTCCCATAGTATAGTTTGTTGTAGGTGTTCACAACCCTCCCACTTGACACGAATTATCCCCTTAGGCTGAGTGACATGAGTCTGTCGAGCGCAGTGTTCCTCAGATCCCTTTACTTATTTCGACTTCTTGCTGGTCTCTGTAGGTACGAAAAACCCGTGGACTCTCTTGCTGACCTGGTTACCCGGCCAGACCTCATGCCAATTGTTAGTCTGAACGATCCAAACCACCAGATGTTCCAAGTAAGTGCGGTAATTCTCAATCATGTTTATCAGTGTTTCTGACATAGTTATTATATGATGCTCTATGTGCTCTACAGTATGTAATGTAATGTATTAGGACAAACAAATATATTTCATTAGTTACGACTAATGAAGAGAACGAGCCAGATAGGTTTCACACTAATAGTGGTAGGTTGGGTATCCCTCAGTCGAGCTGACTATGAGAGAGTCAGACACATTCCGGACTTCCAATAAGGCCATTGGTTGTAGAATTGCGTAATATTTTTGTATGGGGGGGGGAGCCTAAAAACAACAGTAAGATGTACCCGTGGTAAGGGCATTCGAAGACGCGTCACTGCCTCTGGTCCTCTACCTAGCAACTGGCAAAACTTTCTCCGCAACAGTGACAACAAAGAGGAACTCTTCAGTTTCCTGTCAGAACAGGTTATGCAGTTGGTTGTCAAAGAAAGTAAACAGCTGGTTGTCACAGACAAGAAACAGGTACTCACTGTTCCCCCAGGAAGGACACTGCCAACTTGGCACCATGCAACCACGAAGAGGCCGACACTAGCGGTTCATGCAGCTGATGCCTTGGAATGTGGTCACCAACGAATACTCATTCGTACAGTCGATACAGATGTTGTCATCCTTGCAGTTGCTCTAGCGAATGAACGGAGTGAGGTACTAGATAAAATATGGCTTACTTTTGGCACAGGAAAAAATCGACGTTATATAGCAGCATATCAGATTGCAAAGGCTCTAGGACCTGAGAAGTCGAGAGCTCTTCCAGTGTTTCACGCAATAACGGGCTCCGACACGGTATCTGCCTTTGTAGGTCATAGCAAGAAGGCAGCCTGGGCCACATGGAATACATTTCCGGAAGTGACAACCGCCTTCCTCAGTCTGGCTTCCACCCCAAGTGAGCTGCCTGATGGTATCCTGTTGACACTGGAGAGATTCATCTAATGCCCGGGATTAGTCTTGTCATTCTCCTCTGGATTCTTTCTAGGAATTCTATATCCATTCTGTAATCCGGTGACCAGAATTGAACTGCATAGTCCAAGTGAGGTCTCACAAGCTCAATATATAGCTTTAGGATGACCTCGCTAGTCTTGTAACTGACACTCCTTGTATGAACACAAGTACTTTATTTGCCTTGTTACGAGCAAAAACACATTGTTTACTTGGCTTAAGGTTCCTACTTATCATTACTCCTAAATCTCTCTCTCGCAATCGGATTTCTCTATGGCATCGTTGTTCATCTGGTATCTGGTTTCCCTGTTTACATCTCCTATACTGAGTACTTTACATTTGTCCACGTTGAATTTCATCTGCCATTTTTCAGGCCATTCGAAAAATTTGTTTAGATCTTCCTGTAGTTTTGCGGAGTCCTCGTCAGATTTAATAACACGTCCTATTTTAGTGTCATCAGCAAATTTACTTATGTTGCTGTCTACGCCGATGTCTATATCTTTTATGTATTTAATAAATAATAATGGTCCAAGTACTGAGCCTTAGGGAACTCCACTAGCGACGTTGCTCCAATGGGACTTAGTGCCGTTAATGCTCACTCACTGTTTCCTGTGCAGTAACCACGCCCTAATCCATTTAAGGATATTACCTTTTATGCCATGTGCTTCTACCTTTCTAATTAGTCTTTAGTTAGTTAGTTAGTTAGTTAGTTAGTTTTTATTTATTTATTTATTTATTTATTAATTTATTTACTTATTTATTTAGTTATTTAGTTATTTGTTTATTTATTCATTATTTCACCCTTGCCCCACAGAATCAAACTGAAGGTAGCCTGGGCGTGATAAGGAAGCGCCTTGTGGTTTGGAACAACTCGTCAGGCACAGAGCGGATGCGGGCGATAATTTACCAGAAACATGTGGCAATGAGTAAATATTCCTCATTACATTTTGGTTTTATAAGGATTTCAAAATTATTTTCAGACTAATATACTTTCAGATCACCAGAGAAAATTGTAATCTTCTAATATAAAAGTTCTTCTACTTCTTCTTCTATTTATCATAGAAAAGTGGAAATTACAAATATCTTGAGTGATGATTCAGTTAAGAGAAGCAGTTGTATGCCAGTACGGGGAAGATGGAGTGGTGTGTCCACCAATCTGAGGAAGCAGTTGTTCACGACTTCAGCAGTGAACAACATTAACCACAACCCCACTGCGACTACGGCCAAAACGTCCTTCCATGGGACCAGTGTGTCCATCTTCCAACATCTAAGCTCTGAGCAGGCTGGTGAGGAGCTTGAACCACTCAGACGGAATGCAGATACGATGGTCAAGAAAGTTCCTGAGCTTCCAGAGGCATTCACCAATGTCCGACCAGCTTATATTATGAAGAATCCCAATCCTCCCTTGGTAGCACCTCGGTCATTGCCAGCACCTGAGTCAATCCAGTCACACCTGCAGGAAGAGTATGCTTGGCTGGAAGAGGTCTTGCTCACTGAGGATGTGGCTGATGAAGTCTGCATCACGTGGGCAGCTCACCATGCAGCACAGAAGAGGAGTCAGCCATTTGAAGTGAGCATTACGTCTCTGCTTCCCCTGCTTCGAGATCATGTGGCAACCATCAAGCATGTCATGGAAAAGGTTCGTGATACAGTGGCTTTTCTGAACCCAGGTCAGATCCCAGTCATAGCTGCTGACCAGCCACTGTATGCCCCGGCAAAACAAATCCAATGGCATTGGCCTTAGTATGGAGAAGACAGGTACGTTATTATGTTCCGGGGACTTCACGTAGAGATGGCTGCACTGAGATCACTAGGAACACTACTACAGGACAATGGTTGGACCGGTTCCCTTGTTGAAGCAGGAGTGGGGCCAAGCAACAATCTCCAATCCAGAAACCAGCAGTCCTATCAACTGGGGATGGACGCAGAAGGGAGAGGCATGGCAGATACTTTGGACGACTCTTCCCCAGATTGCGACATGCTGTCAGGAGCTGACCAAATGTTCCTGTATGAAACACTGGAACCAGAGATGCAAATGCTTTCGCTCTGGACTTTCCTGCACAGCACTTTGCAGCTGCATATGTGAACAGCAGTAAATGCACAAAGATGTACTGCCAGGAGAAGTCACAGGCACCAGTGCTAATAGTGAGTACTTTTTTTTGAGTAAGTTCTTTTTTGTTATATTTTTTTACTAAAAGTGTTATTTTATGTGGATAAAAATGTTGCAATGGACTTACAACTATAACAAAATCATCTGAGCATGCTTGAAAACAAACATGGACACCAAGATCACTCAGCGGGGAGCGCTCTCTTCCCTCAGACGACCTTGAAAACTCAGTATCGCCAATGGCGCGGCGTTTGAAATTACTCTGAAATTTCTGAATATTACATATATATATATATATATATATATATATATATATATATATATATATATATATATATATATATATATATAAATTTATTATTATTTTTTCATTAGCTAATGAAATATATATGGATCCTCGTGTTTCGAAGCAGGATTTGGTAAAACGTTACTCTGACCACTTAAGTGATACGGTTAGTCCCCATTAGAGGTTCACGGCGCCATAAGCTAGTTGAACAGGCTTTGTGTGAAATATAATAGAGTCTAGGACTGCTTTTAGTATCCTGGTGGTCTAGAGGTAGCATTCCCTGGTCACAGTTGTGGGCTGTGGGTTCGAATCCTGGTGGGGTAGTGTTGATTATATATATATATATATATATATGATAGCGATCATTACTTAAACTCTCCGCCGATTATGTAATTGTTTTGTTCCCTGCTCACAGACAGCGACCGATCTCACATATCCAGGGCGACAGCACTCAATAAGGTCGAAGGCCGCTTAGGGTTTGCCCCCTGCAGGATACACTTGGGTCGCCAGGACGTACGGCAGGACTTCTTAGGCCTCATGATCAACAAAAACAGCTGGTTCAAGGAACAGATGAATGAACGGTGATCCATTATTATTATCATTGTTATTATTATTATTCGTCGTATTTTGATGTGTACCTTTCATCTATTCACCCTATGACTACTGTAAAACACTCAATATAAATGTAAAATAAACCTACATTCAGACGAAAGGTTTAACGTTTTCAGAAATCCCCTTAATTTACCCTTAGAACTCTGGCCTTACCTCTTCCAGGCACCACACCCCATTGTCATCTCTACCAAGCTCGATATATGCTGCCTTACCTCTCTTCCAGCCTCTTCATCGACCATCACCTCTACTGAAATCCTTCGTGTCTCAAAAGAACTTTCTCATCTTTGCAGGATACGGTGGCTAAGGTCTTACGGGATAATTCAGTATCTATACAAGCAGTTCAATCAACCAGGGTGTCGGGTGAGGAAGACCGGAGAACAACGAGAATTTTCGAACAGCCTTACACTGTGGCAGCTTGAGGGAGTGTACTGGGTATGGCTGGTGGGTGCCGCGACAAGTACTTTCGCTCTGTTGATGGAGCTTTTTCTGGCCAACTACGTTGATAAGTGTGATCACCACCATTGATGGTGGTCTGTGATCACCACCATTGATGACAGTGGTGTCTGTGATCACCACCACTGATGATGGTCAGTGATCATCACCATTAATGATGGTGGTGTATATGATCATCACCATTGATGGTGGTCTGTGATCACCACCATTGATGTTGATCACCATCGTTGATGACTGTCTTCACCAGACGAAATTTCTTGCTTCTAAAGATCAATGTCAGTAGTACTGAAAGTTCACGTGTAGTAAAATTGCGCAATAAATTCATCATAATGCAATTCCTTTTTTAGCAACTGGTTTGTGTTTATGTAAGCATATGTTAATAAATTAAATATATTGCATCATAACCCTGCCCGACTGTATGTTTACCCAGGAATTTGCCCATATCTTTGATAATCTCTCTCTCCATTGTTTCCCTTTCTCCTGTGTGATTTTATCAATATACATATATATATATATATATATATATATATATATATATATATATATATATATATATATATATATATATATATATATATATATATATATATATATATATATTACCTCAACTCCATCTGGTAGCTCACTCATATTATATTTCGTGAATAAATAAATAATTTCGAAACTGCTTTAATCTCTCAGTGTTTCTGTTTCCTTGTAGTTATTTCCATAAGACACAGACACAGAGATGCACTACAACCTCTCGCTGAGTAAGTTTAGAAGACCTTTCACCTTAGAGAAAAGAGTAAAGATCGCTCACCGATAAATGAGATTGTTTTCCCTGTACTCTGAGTCTAAATCTTCTACTCTCACATATTTTCTTATATTTGACTTAATAATTTTACGTAATTATTGAATATCTGCATTTAGACACTCTCTCTCTCTCTCTCTCTCTCTCACACACACACACACACACACACACAAACACACACACACACACACACACACACACACACACACTCCTGAATCTGTCAAGCTGATGTCGCCTCCACACTTTATACCTGCATGATCTTACTCCGGTGACCACTATCATATTCCACCGACTCATTTGACCAACTCACTTTTGTTTCATTCATATCTCACTGCCTACCACATTGCACTGACAATCTCATTGCTGGGATAACCTTTCTCCAGTGAGCACATTACAGTATGCATATGGGATAAATTCAGATTCTTCAGATTTGCCCCACGCAGCGTGAGGTCTAGTTTATTGGTCACCACCTTGCACCCTGTGAAAGGCGAAGCGCAGAAGCATTACAGCACAAAACAATGGAGCTTTCGAATTTTTATGCTTGTCTTCTTAGGCGTATATGGCGGGTAGGTGCCAGGAGGACCATTAGTTTTGTAAGCAAGTTACAAGTAGTGTAGAAAAATAAATGTATATCTGGACGAAATACAGTGCAGTTCCTTGTTTACGGGAAAGTGTAGTATGTCCCTCATAATGTTAAGTTCGTGGACAGTCACTAGGAGGAGGGATATTTGGTCAGGAAGGGATTTGGAGTGAGAGGATGGACACGGTGGGGGTGTAGGGAGGCACATGAACTTTGACAATATTTAGGAACATATTCTTACTGTACTTGTGAGACGCAGGGTGCGAGGAGTGTCCAGGGAGGGTCCAGGGAGGGTCCAGGGAGGGTATCTACGAGTATTATACATGAAACCTTTATAAGCAATCGCTCAAAATTTACCGTTGTGATTTTTAATACCTGGCTTTTTAATGAAGATATATTGCGCACCTGTTGATGATCCAGTTGAAAGGAACAAATTAAACAGGGAATCCCTTATCTAACTCCGTTATTATTTTTTCTGTAATAATATAAAAAAAAATAATTGAATGGTGTAATGCACCAGTGTGTGTGTGTGTGTAATAATATATAAATGATAATAATAATAATTAACGGTTTATTGAAAGAGCATGGCAGCCGGAAGGCTGAAAATATACAGTTACATAATTAGGGAATGGGTCACTTGAATTACAAATAATATACAAGTAACATAAGTGATACAAATATGATATATAATAACTAGGTGGGGAGAAGGTTATACTACAGGGCATTTCAACATAGTGACAGTGCAAAAAGTAAGATTGACCGGGAGTGAATACACTGGTTGATTACAAGTTATTGATAATTTTTACAATGGTTGGGGCTGGGCTGTTCTTATAGCGATCAGTTCGTGCTCGTATGGGCTGGATGCTGTTGTGGTGTCGAACAGTAATTCTCGGGCCAAAGATCTCGGGTGGTAGTAGGAGCCGGTGTCGAGGATGGTGCAGAAGCTTCTCACCAATTTACAGATGAGGTCGTGGTGATGGTCAGTGAGAGCCGAGAGGGTCAGTGTGTGTGTGTGTGTTTCCCCGTATGCTATCACATCCGCAGAACCATCTAGTTGGTCTCGATCATGCCTGCTAGAGCCCCGGTGAAGGCGGCGTTGTAATCACAAGCCACCTCGTTGTGCACATAGTCGAGGCGGTCATCCACCCAGTTCCCGTCCTGGTGCGGGAAGAGACAGTACACCATTAATTAAGAAGAAGTAAAAAGCCTTGCCCTCTCGTTCTGGTCCCACGATAAAGTTTAATGACTTAATGCAGCTGGGCCTCTCCGAGTAAGAAAATCGGGTACTACAATCATGTTAAATGGGACAAAATACAAGAACGAGGGTTGTTTGTGGCACAGTGAATCTCACACTAATATGTCAAAGTTTTCCCGGCCTCCGGTTTCCGTCTGTATTAACGCCGGGTAGCCCAACCGCCCGAATGCCTAGTAAATTGATAAGTGGTGAAATGATAAAAACAAAAGTTAAAGTCGTGAACTGGCTTCATACAGCGAATAATGAGTCACTTCTGGCTGAAAGTGTTCGTAATGGTGTTCGTTCAGTAACTTTGTCGATCAAATTGAATACGACTAAACTGATACACAAAAGTTGTATATGGATCCTGTCATGTAGTATCTACGAATGATATATTTGTTTTCAGTAATCCTTTGCAGGGCAGCGGCGCACTTAAGTATTTTATGCTAGCTGACGACAGACGAATTTATTCAACGGAGAGAAATCCCCTGCCCAACACATGGTTAAAGAGCAATTCCAGAATAAAAATTACTTACCTGAGTGACAACCACCGGTTTGAAATCTGATGACATGATGTTAGAGAAATATTCCTACTTCCAAAGAATACTGAAACATGCACCTACTTTTTCAGTATTGAATATATTAACTGATTGAAACCCCAAGAGAATCTGTTGGGATTTCGTTCACTTAATATATATATATATATATATATATATATATATATATATATATATATATATATATATATATATATATATATATATATATATATATATATATGAAGTCAAAAGAGCAAGAGAATCCAAGACAAATCCCAAGGGATTTTTCCAGGTATACAGAACAAAGGTCAAGGACAAAGTTGGGCCTTTAAAGTCAGGGAGGGGAGAAGTGATAAATGGCAGTGAGGAAATAAGCAAGGCATTGAACAGCTACTTCTTACCCGTGATCCGGCATGGCCGAGGAAGATAGATTTTGTGGAATTTAGGGTGGGGGAGGTGTGGTATATCTCACCTGGTCTGGTCCACCGACGAGGGCGCCGTAGAGCGTATGGGGGTTGGGACCCGGATTCTGTTGATATCCCAGGCAGGACTCAGGTGGCCACGGACATGAGCTGACAATGAACCACACATTCACCTTTAGCATATATATTTTTTTATACTGTATACATTAGAAACACATGGATGTTATTTTCCTTGTGGTAACATATTCATAAAGATGAATTTTTAAAGAAGATTTGATTAACCTACTTATGTGTTAAGCCTGGACAGCACCATTAATATATTCAGAAATATTATCGCAAGTACAGATTGAGGTACAGTAATTCCATGTGTTCATGGGTAGTGCCTTAAATACGATTATATTTTATATGTATGTGATATTTAATTAACTCTTTCACCAGGTATCAAACTCTCAAGGTTTATAGTTTATACGTTCAATGTTTCCTTAGTGATCCTTTATAAAAATTATTTTGAATCTCTTATGATTACAGTACAGTATAACAATGACCAATATTAATGCATATTTATTTATCCTTAAATTGTCACAAAGTTTATTAACTATATAATTATAACCTTTAGAAGTTAACGTTATCATTATTCAATATCTCACATGTATGACTTATGAAACAAATTATTTCCTCCAGTCTCGACTACAATAATGGGTTAGAATAAACATTCTCGGTGTAAGTGTAAGTGGATTTGGGTGACTGAACTTAACATAATCTGTATGTTGTTACGTATAGTGGGGCAGCTAAATGCAATTTTTCAAGAGAATAATGCAAATGGTGATACAAGCACCAAATTTGGCTTGGTAATTTTCTAATGGTTACTAGTCAAGTCTGCCTGATTGGCCATTTGAAAATCCAAGATGGCGGCCATTTTTCAAGATGGCCGCTATATTGACCTCCAAAAGTTGATTTTTTTTTTTAGAAATTGATGTAGTTGGTCAATCTGAGTGATCTTGGTGTCGATATGTATGTTTTCAAGCATGCTCAGATGTTGTCCACTGCTGAAGTCATGAACAACTGCTTCCTGGCATACAACTGCTTCTCCTAGCTGGGCTGATAATTGTAGAACTCTCTCATATGAAATGCTGACCCCATTTTCATGCAGCATGTAGATGAGCTGCCTCTTTCTTGTCTTAGCAAACACACACATGCCGACGTAGATAGCAAAAGGTGTCTCATGGTCCTTGGAGTGTCTGTGGATTTGTGTTCCTACCTTGTAGTTGGCAAAGCAGTTGTACTGTAAGAGCTGTGACATAGCAAGGTCAGACTTCGATGCGCCATGCTGGAGTTGGGATTTGATATCTGCACCATGTTCGATCATGCATGCAAATTGAAGCAGTGATGGTGGAACAGCCTGTTCAATGCATCCTTCATGAAATGTACTGCTGAAGTGTAACTTGTGCTGAAGCATGTCCCGTGGTATCATCCCAGCAGCCTTGGCCAGATGGATCATGTCACCGTATTTACTTGCTTGTGCCAGGATTGAGCCAACATCCTTCTCAAAGGCCAGTAGGATATCTCTTCCTTGGTGATGAGCTGCAGCTGGGGGATGTGAAAAAGCAGCTGGTCCTTCAGTCGAGTAGCATGAACATCGGGTGATCCAACACCCAGCTGCTCAAGTCTCTGTCTGCAGAGTGAGACCAGGTCAGCAAGTCTGAAAATGGGTAGTTCAGTACCTTCACTAGAAGCTTTCATCTGAGTGATGGAAGTGACCAGTTCAGAGAAAGCAGTTGGGTACGCACTGTACTGTACTCGTATTCATTTCACAGGATCACTTACGATACAAGGTTTAAGTACTTGTGATCATAATACTTGTTATTTAGCAATTAAATATATTTGTATGACCACATGTGTGTATGAGTACCTGGAGCGGTGATGGGGTTTCTGTGGGGGATCGACGCCGTAGCCGATCACGAAGGAATGGCCAACGTCTCCCAAAATGTAGTTGATCTGACTAGTGGCGAAATCGCGGTTGGTCTTCACGTTCATCCCTTGTTTGGCAGCCTGCAGAGGGTAACCAAAAGTAATTAGGGCCAAAGGGCATGACTTTGTCACTCGTATGTTGTTTACCGTTTAACACAGTGCATAATTGCCCAGAATAACAAATTTGTGCCTCAGAAATATCATGTTATATGTATTCTACTCTCTAAGGGAGTATTATATGTGTTGAAATATAAGTGACAATGTCGCTTTTCACTTGGTAAGCAGAAGATGACTTCATAATACCCAGTTACCTCTTGTAATAAAGAAACATGACATATCCGTCCTAACAGCGTATACTGTAGATAAGTTCATAAAAATAAACTCTGTATAGTTTTTTGTTTATCAAAAAGGTAAATGCGTTCGTCTGATGAACTATGTTACTTTGAATTTTGCATAACGAAATAGATTTATAGCCATTTACTGTTAACCACTTATGCTCGGGGTTGCCTCTGTGTTGAAGAAAATCGTCTGGCGTAAGCCAAATAAAATATCCAAATTGGCTTCCCGTAGTGAAGTGGTTAATAGAGTAGATAAGTTCGTGACAAAGGTGTATTTACATGGTTTCTATATTTAACAGAGTGCGAAATACCAAGTTTGTGTCTTTCGTTCCCGATACGTTTAAATGCACCATTCTCGTATTTAGGAAAAAATTTCGATACTCTTTGTGTGATAAAGAAACGCCGTGTAAGAGGGGTGAGGTGAGGTGTTCAGGGCAGCGCAGACAAACCAGAGGCTACTCAAATTATGCCCAAGTTATTGAACGTGTCGCTGGCCTCAGTATAATGCATTTACTGTGTACTCTCTTCGAGTTATAACAATATTCTAAACATAATGAAAGTACTGAGATAACATTTAGAACAGGTTAATTATAAAATACTTATGTCAACACGAGTACAAGAATACAAGTAATCCCAGCTCACACAAGTACAAGAGCTCCCAGCTCACACGAATACAAGTGCTCCCAGCTCACACGAGTACAAATGCCCCAGCTCATGATGAGTACTCACCCAAGGATACGATAAGCATATATTAGCTTATCAACGATGACTGCCATTTCACACACCTAGGAAATATAAGTACCTGCTTCCACTTGTGTGTTTGCAAATAATTTCTACATCATTATCTAGCACAAGGCAACTAGGGAGAAACAAAGAGAGGAAGGGAATATATATATATATATATATATATATATATATATATATATATATATATATATATATATATATATATATATATATATATATATATATATATATTGTTACGACCGTGTCGTATTTTTTCTATTTTTTTATATATAACATGCTCCCATGTTCCATATTATTCCTGTAATGATGTGTTAAATTTACTATTATATATTCTAGTCACCTTACCCTGTGCTGTTAAGGTTTTAACTGTCATTATTTGTTCAAGCCCATCTTATTTCTTTATTTTGTATTGTAACAAGCATTCTGTGTTCTCTAACGACCATCTGCATCCTTAAACAACCCACCGGCGGGTCGCGTGGCGGGAGCCGACCTTATATGTAGGACCCACCAACTGACTTGAGTCAGTTCAGACCTCTTGTCATACAGTCCACAGCCTTTGAGTGACACTCGTCACTTGTTACTTATACTTAATTTATTTGTGTTGTTCCTGTCGCCACCAATGTGGTATATCTATGTGAGTACCTATTTATGTCCATCAGTATTTGCTTAGTTACATTTAAGTAATTCAGTGTTGTTTCACGTTAGTTAATTTCAGTGTTAGTTTTTATGTTTATGCAGTGTTAACGTAATCCAATGCTTTATTATGATTCTTTTGATGTTTAGTATCACTTGTGTCTTAAAGGTTTCGATGGTGAATCAATTTGTTGTGACAGCCTACGAGGCTCTTTATTGTGTTAATATTTAATCAATTAAATTCTTAAAGGTTTACTTTATTTATTTTTAGTCTCTTAATTTACTTCACTTTTTGTGGTTACGCCTAGAACCTGGATATTTAAGTAAATTAAGAGACGGCGTAACAATATATATATATATATAAAAGAGTAAAAGAAAGAAGGTAATATTGTAAGACAAATACAGGGAGAGGGACAATTGATGTATTTACCCAAAGGAATAAGGGAGAGAGAGGGAGAATGGTGAGGGTGTGCTCTTCACTCACCCATAAAGAGAGGAAAGCTACGTTGGCAGCGTGTCTGTTGGCTCCCCACTTGTTAATAAACACCAGGCCGCCGGGAGTGTATGGCATGTCCTCTCGGATGTGTCTCAGGAACTCCTTCAGGGCGGCTGGATACTTTTCATCGTCCGGCTCAAGTAGTGTGAACAGCGCCTGTTGGGGGAAACAGTAGCTATCACGTCTATCTGTATGTGACAGCAAAAGTATCATTCTAGATACGAACTATGTAGTTATGGAGGAGTTAGTGAATATGAGCAATATAATATGTTGACCAAGAAAGGCGTTGATTGTTATGTTGATTATAACACAGATGGCTGACCTGACAGTAATTGAATACTTGCTGATATATGACGTGGTAAAGCTCTGTGAATAAGAGTGAGAACCAACACAGAAGACTTACATAAACACCAGCTTTCTTGTCATCCCAGGAAAATTCTTCAGCTCCAGCACCCAGGTCAAACTCGTCCCATGCTTCATGGGCTTTCATTAGGTAGGTGTCGTTCCGTGTAGCACGGTAGAGCCAGAGAGCTCCCCAACACAGCTCGTCCCCGTACCCGCTCCACGACCTGTAGGTAGTCACGTCATCATGTGTCACTATCTGAAGGTGGTGTAGGTGGTCACGTCATCATGTGTCACTATCTGAAGGTGGTGTAGGTGGTCACGTCATCATGTGTCACTATCTGAAGGTGGTGTAGGTGGTCACGTCATCATGTGTCACTATCTGAAGGTGGTGTAGGTGGTCATGTCATCATGTGTCACTATCTGAAGGTGGTGTAGGTGGTCACGTCATCATGTGTCACTATCTGAAGGTGGTAGGTGGTCATGTCATCATGTGTCACTATCTGAAGGTGGTGTAGGTGGTCATGTCATCGTGTGCCACTATCTGAAGGTGGTGTAGGTGGTCATGTCATCATGTGTCACTATCTGAAGGTGGTGTAGGTGGTCACCTCATCGTGTGCCACCATCTGAAGGTGGTGTAGGTGGTCATGTCATCATGTGTCACCATCTGAAGGTGGTGTAGGTGGTCATGTCATCATGTGTCACTATCTGAAGGTGGTGTAGGTGGTCATGTCATCATGTGTCACTATCTGAAGGTGGTGTAGGTGGTCATGTCATCATGTGTCACTATCTGAAGGTGGTGTAGGTGGTCACGTCATCATGTGTCACTATCTGAAGGTGGTGTAGGTGGTCACGTCATCATGTGCTACTATCTGAAGGTGGTGTAGGTGGTCATGTCATCGTGTGTCACCATCTGAAGGTGGTGTAGGTGGTCACGTCATCATGTGTCACTATCTGAAGGTGGTGTAGGTGGTCACGTCATCATGTGTCACTATCTGAAGGTGGTGTAGGTGGTCATGTCATCATGTGTCACTATCTGAAGGTGGTGTAGGTGGTCATGTCATCATGTGTCACTATCTGAAGGTGAAGATTGTAGGTGGTCATGTCATCATTATTGCCACTATCTGAAGGTGGTGTAGGTAGTCATGTCATCGTGTTACTTACTATCTGAGAAGGTGTAGGTAGTCATGTCATCATGTGCCACTATCTGAAGGTGGTGTAGGTAGTCATCATGTGCCACTATCTGAAGGTGGTGTGAGTGGTCATGTCATCATGTGCCACTATCTGAAGGTGGTGTAGGTGGTCATGTCATCATGTGTCACTATCTGAAGGTGGTGTAGGTGGTCACGTCATCATGTGTCACTATCTGAAGGTGGTGTAGGTGGTCACGTCATCGTGTGCCACTATCTGAAGGTGGTGTAGGTGGTCATGTCATCATGTGTCACTATCTGAAGGTGGTGTAGGTGGTCATGTCATCATGTGTCACTATCTGAAGGTGGTGTAGGTGGTCACGTCATCATGTGCCACTATCTGAAGGTGGTGTAGGTGGTCATGTCATCATGTGCCACTATCTGAAGGTGGTGTGGTGGTCATGTCATCATGTGTGTCACTATCTGAAGGTGGTGTAGGTGGTCATGTCATCATGTGTCACTATCTGAAGGTGGTGTAGGTGGTCATGTCATCATGTGTCACTATCTGAAGGTGGTGTAGGTGGTCATGTCATCATGTGTCACTATCTGAAGGTGGTGTAGGTGGTCATGTCATCATGTGTCACTATCTGAAGGTGGTGTAGGTGGTCACGTCATCATGTGTCACTATCTGAAGGTGGTGTAGGTGGTCACGTCATCATGTGCTACTATCTGAAGGTGGTGTAGGTGGTCATGTCATCGTGTGTCACCATCTGAAGGTGGTGTAGGTGGTCACGTCATCATGTGTCACTATCTGAAGGTGGTGTAGGTGGTCACGTCATCATGTGTCACTATCTGAAGGTGGTGTAGGTGGTCATGTCATCATGTGTCTTGCTACTGGGTGATGTAAGTGATGAAATTGTCATTGGAAGTGGGTGTTAATGTCATGTGTGACTGATGTTGCAAATGGTATGGTCACGTGTTACTAGTGGTTCAAATGTTAAGGTCATATGTTACTAGTGATTCAAATGTTAAGGTCATGTGTTACTAGTGGTTCAAATGTTAATGTCATATGTTACTAGTGGTTCAAATGTTAAGATCATATGTTACTAGTGGTTCAAATGTTATGGTCAGGTTATGTGATCTGGTGATGATGGAATGTAAATTTTTACAAGTGAACCAAAACTCGTTGCTGCTTCTCGCCTTGTGGCACATCATTCCCTTCAACTTGTCTCTGATATGAAGCCAGTAATAGAGTAAGTGATGCCATCCACTCGAGTTGGCAATGCAAGTTCCTCAACATCCTCTCTGATTTGGGTGCCCGGGGATGTCAGGGACTGTCGGCGCTGGGAGACTGCTGTGGGCCGCCTCCGATTTGGCCACACGCGGATGACCATGATATTTTTTTTTTTTTTTTTTAATGGAGATGGCGCCCCCTCCCCATTGTGATGACTGGGTGATCCCATTGACTGTTCGACACCTGGTGGAGTGCCCTAGTCTTAAGGGGGTTGCCTTCTGTCGACATACCGCTTGGCGTGGTGTTTGTGCCTGATCAATGACGGTTTTCTGATGTTCGATCACTACGCAATCAAGTCGCCACGAATGTTAGTGTGTCGGATGACTACAGCGAGAGGGGATCAATGGGAATGATGACCTTATGCACAAGTTGTAAACGTTGAGAATACAAATATAATTATTGTTCACTGATATGATAATGTAATATACTGCATAGATGTTAGTCTAATAATGACATATATTATCTAATTGAAAGCAATTACATTATTATTATAATATACAAAATAGCCTAATTGCTTTTATTTACTTCTTGTTCAAAGCGTATATAACTTTTCTCACTTTCATGCAGTTGCCTTTAAGTACTTGTAGATGGCACGTCCCTGGAATGATTACACTCAGACTTTGTTTAGAAATGCGTGTGGAATATTACAAAATTGCCTTGGATCATGCAGTTGCTAGATACCGAAGAATAGCTTCGGGACGCGCTTCTGCCGAAATACTCTGAATCTAGTATCTTGTTTCTCTAATAACGATTTTACTTTTTTAAGAAGAGAAAAAATAAGGCCGTTACTTACTGGCATTGACATAATCTTAAAAAAATCTCCTTCACTTTCTATTACAAGTTCATTAAATATGTGCATAAAACTACCCTTGGAGCGCCTCTTCACTAAATTACTGTTTGCGACACAATTTTTTTTTCACCCTTCTATTCTTTATCGCACAAGCAGTCACCACACTCCACAAAGCAGCTTTCATTGCGCACGAAACTGTAGCCATTGCTCCTAACACCGTGGATAGATGAGGAATGATTATGGCTGGTGTGTACACCTCATCAGACAAACCTGATTGAAACTGTCGGTCAGACTTTACGTGTTAGACGGCATGATGACAAGTGTGTATTAGGCTACTAGGCTTTAGAGATCTTTGTCCTAAGCTTCTCCTCGAGTGTCGCGGTGGAGCAGGTCTACCCTCTCTCTCTTTGGTGCTGGGGAGGGGGGAGGGGTGGGAGTAGCGTGAGAGGGGACATTCTCTCCTTCGTGGATGAGGCCGACCTTGTACACAATCTTTGAGCTGTATCTACTAACGTTTAAATGGTCTTTACGAAAATCCTATGCCATTTATTGTTTTTGTTTTTACCATTGCATTATTTGTTTTTAGCTTTCTAAGCATTAGCTTAACTCGGCGGCAGATGACCTAAACTATTGAGTCGCCAGTGATGTAATTACCACTATCAATCAATCAATCACTATTGGAACCCAAGACATCAGTGTGGAAAATAGGAGTACTAACCACCCCACCACAAGAACTCTAAATGCTAACCTAGACTTTCTTACACAAAGCTTGCTCCTACATCTGTTATAGCATTGAAAGCCTCAACTTAAGGTTAGGCCGAACCACGTATATATTGTAACAAAATCTAGATTGTCCTTTTAATGCCGTGTGGTGCAGTGGTTAACATTCCTATTTTACACACCAAGGTAATGGTCTCGAATTCTGGCAAAGTATACTTTAAATTTTAGAGTCCTTGTGGTGCGGTCGTTAACACTACTACTTCCCACATGGCGTTCCAAGGTTCGAACCCTCCCTAGTGTTTTATCATTGAAAAAAACTACAATCTGGGGAAAACACATTAAGATACTGAGTAGACGACCGCATCAACACCACCAGAGTTCACAGCAGGTCCTGTATATGGATATGCTATAGTGTAAAGTATATTAAAGGTAGCTATGAGCACTCCAGCTCTTTCACACTACAGGTATAAACTCAGCTCACGGTGTAGTGTTCTATACAGTACATACTTGTAGTACTGGGCAGCGTCGGTGATAGAGTTGCTGTACATCTCACGCTTCTCGTCGGCGAATTCATAAAGTTCTTGGGCGACTCCTAACATCTCGGAGGAGTACTGTGGGTCCACTTCCTGGTGGACGAAGTCAGAAGTGGTGAGGATTTGGTAATATTGTAAATTAGGAAATGTAACTTGCAAAAAGAAGAGAATTTTCAACGTAATAACACATAAAAAAGTATGTTGCACCCCCCCCCTAGATATTATAAAAATAAATTAACGTTCACTAACAACATGATATTCCTTTCTGTATAATTGTAATGGATTTGTTTTCGTAATTGTTATATTTTGGAGTTATTCTATTAAATTACTTGATGTTGTGGCCTGTACACGGAGCTCTTCACTATTCACTACTATTAATTTCCTACATAAGAAAGTTGTAGGTATATGCATTCTACATAGTCAGGGGAAAATCTATTAACTGTGAACAAAAATCTGAAAACTGGTACAGATGTAACATAGCACAGTGTGTTATTAGAAGTTTTTTGGCCCAAGGGGGCAATTATTTCTAGGTCAAGGTTTAAGTCAATCGGGGTATTTAAGGCCTGATGGTAAAAACAGCCCCAATACAACTTCCCGAAGGTCTTTGTAATAAAGCAGAACCACACTCTAAGGCACCTGCAACCTGGTTATACAGTCGGGGTCATAAGGTCAATCATGTGACCTCTATGTCTGCTTACTCTTGGAAGGACATTATGCCTACGGTATATAGATATTTTTTGTAACTTCATAATAATCTATATTTATATAAAACAAAGAAGTATGTCTGTGTGTTTGTGTGTCTGCACGAGAATCTCGGTAACTACTTTACCGATCTGTAGTGATGATGGATGGTGTTATATGTAGTGATGATGGGTGGTGTTATATGTAGTGATGATGGATGGTGTTATATGTAGTGATGATGGATGGTGTTATATGTAGTGATGATGAATGAGGATGTTATATGTAGTGATGATGGATGTTGTTATGTGTAGTGATGATGGATGGTGTTATATGTAGTGATGATGGATGGTGTTATATGTAGTGATGATGGATGATGTTATATGTAGTGATGATGGATGGTGTTATATGTAGTGATGATGGATGATGTTATATGTAGTGATGATGGATGATGTTATATGTAGTGATGATGGGTGGTGTTATATGTAGTGATGATGGGTGATGTTATATGTAGTGATGATGGATGATGTTATATGTAGTGATGATCTATCTTTATATATATATATATATATATATATATATATATATATATATATATATATATATATGCAAGTAAATCACTGAAGGTGCGCGTGATCTAGGCCTTAGACTCTTGGGCAGCTCGATGATGTAATCAGCTCGGAAATTGGTGAAGGAAAAAAAATAAGCTCAGAAAACTGAGGGAACGACCGTCTGAGACATTCGAGGGAAAGAATCTATCAGTGGTAGTTTTTCTGGCTTGAAAGAGGAGATCGATGGAAAGAATGTGATCTCCGTGCTTCCTGACACCATGAAAGACATCATGAAATCAACCAATGCAAAAATTGATTCTTAGAGCCGAGCAAAAGCTGCGGGCATTTTTCACTTGGAGATTAAGCCAGGTCAATTATGGTCTTTCAGTGGTGAGTTTGATGATGGCTGCCAGGAGAGGGTCATTCCCCCAGCACTAAAATTCTTCCATCGGATGACTCTTGAAGGATCTTCATTGAAGGCTGAATCCAACCATTCGGCACTGAAAATTGGACAGCTGATGGCTTTCAACACTGATTCGAAACGGGCTACGTCAAATATAGGCAAACCTTCCACTCTCCCAGTGACGTCCTTCCTTGGCGTATACTGTCACTCACAATTCAGAAACATGGTATTTGTCAATTTCTTTAACAGATTTGGACTCTCTGACAGTTACAAAAGAGTTATCTAACATGAAGCACAGGTGGCTTCATTCTTGTCCAAACAATTAACCAGAGAAGAGTTGGTTTGCCCAATCCTTTAGGTAATATCGATCATAACCCAACGTCCAATGCATCGAAAAAAACTTTCCACGGGACAGCCATTGGCCTGTTTGAGGCCAGTTCAATACACGAACTCGTGAGAAAGGATCATGTGAGGAGGTTGAGACTGAAGGTTTGCCGAAGTCATATTCATTCGAACCTCAGTTGGATGTAGATATCACAAGAGTTGCGATGTTACCCATGCTTCCAGTCACCATTTCGGAGAATCTGCCATTCTTTGAAAAAGCATTCAAAGAGGAATAAGATTGGCTGATCCATAGTACATAATCCCAAGCTCGGGGTCCTGCAAAAAAGTGTCAGGGTCGGAATATCATGTTGCACAACCGAGAAATGTAGATGACAGTGAAGAACAGCATCCAGCGATCAAGGTTGTTCTTCCATTATTTTACGAAAATGCACACTCAACTTCAATGATCAAGCATGGGCCAGACTAGAGAAACAAATGGAAGATATCCAACATGCTAATCCTGGGCCTATCCCAGTGTCTGCTATAGGCCAGCCGCTCTTTGCTCTGTCAAAACACCTGCAGTGGACCTATTTAACCCTCAATGAAGAGAACCTAGTGCTCATACTTGGAGTTATTCATACTGAAGATGCCATCTCCAGAAGATTACCGATGGGAGAAGGACTCAGACACCTCTTCATGGAGCCCCTGGTGGATATCCCAGCCACCTCTTGCACCACTTCAGCAGTGTAGGTGTAAGAAGCCATGTTGTTCCTGCACCTCGCGGAAGTCTGCCCTCCCTGCACTCATGTGTGCCCTTGCTCCTGCAGTAAATGGGGACTAATACCTCATGAACGCTTAGTGTCTCATGCAATGTTTATCATAAAATGTGTCCTGAAATGTGGTATTGATTCTTAATGTTTTTCAGCGATTGCTGTAATGATGTCATTAAGCTGTGGAACGAACCTGATTGATTATGGCAGTGTTAATACTATATGAACAGGATCAAGAGATGATTCGGTGGTAACAGACATAATTTGTTCACTTCCATGTAATTTGATCATTACTCAAGGTCACTGTTCAGTTTAGGTCATTAGCATCACTATAGTCACCTTCGTCTCGTTAAGACGATTCATATAATAGGTCACACAATAGTTTATACCTAATGCACTTCTAGGAGTAAGCAAACCTAACGGTAACTTGATTGACCTTATTGCCCCGTGTGTATAACCAGGTAACCTAGTGGGTTGAATGTACCTTAGAGTTTTGATAACAAAACTAGCCTTCTAGACCTTTGGTACGACAGTATATCCGTCCCAGTTACAGCATTTTTTTTACAGGGATTAGCCCATCCGGGCACAGTTCATCGACCCACAACGGGGCCTGGGGGCGAAAAAATAAGAATAGAAAGAAATTAAAAATAAAGGTAATTCTTTTTATGCGCTTGTCATTTAGGCCACAGAACTTGGGGGAGAGAAAGAGGGGGATCTCTCAGCTCCTCTGTCTCGTGTCCCATGAAATGAGAAACAAATGAGAAATACACGTAGATAAACGTAATTATGATATAAAATTTTCGATTAATTTATCAATTAGGGAAACCCATATGAGTTACGTAAACAAAGATGAAATAGTAATACTGTATAGTTTAGGAGCAGAGGCAAGGGAGTCATGACAATACCTGGAAGACTATAGCAGCGGCGGCAAGGGCGGCGGCGGTCTCAGCTGCCAAGTCAGATCCTAAGAGAGAGGATGAAGAAGGTGGATTAGCCTCTCTCTCTCTCTCTTTTATTCTTCTCGTACTGTGGATATCAAGGACAATGCAAATGTATTCATATAGTTAATAGATCAGTCAGAGAGATCCCTGTGTTCAGAATTCTATCTCTCATAAATTTTAATAGTTGTTAGACCAGTGGAATTACTAACCTCGTTACGCTCTTAAAAACCTTAGATGTTGAGAAGCAGTAGTAGCATTTTACCAACAAACTTATGTTATAATGTTGTTTAACTTAAACTATGATCTAATTAAAGGAACAAACATTTCCCTCAAAGTACACTTAAAAAAAACGAAGATAGATGAGTTCTCTTATACCCCATAAATATAATGTAAGTGTAACATTAAATGTAAAGAAATTATGAGTCCTCTTATGATACATTACATGTTATATGACACTTTATTATTCAGTGTAACGAAAGGGGTTACAAGCTCTCAAGACGATTCAAGAAATAACCTAATGAACAAACAGAGCATTAGGCCAGGAATCTAATGCTCTGTTTGTTCATTTGAGGGATAATAAGCATTGCATTGACTGGGATAATGCCTCCTCAATATTACCTTGACAGTAGGAACATTATAGAATCTAGTCTCATTAAACATACCGAAGCAGTCAACATGAATTTGAGTAATGGCATGTACAAACTGGACAATTTTGTAATTAAGAAGATTTGTAACCAGGTGAGAAGGTTGGGTCACCTTACCCTCTGACCTGACTACCGACCGTTGCTGTGCTTTTTAAAGATTATTGGGGTCATTACCTAATACCTGACCATTGCATTGTATAGCCAGAAGCAGAGAGACATAGCATATAATAATATATGATAATTGGCTAGGTAATGTTTATTGTCATGTAATTGAGAACAATATAAGTATATATCCAGCTCGAATACATTTGTAATTGAAACGCTTACAATGAGAGAAGCCAGCATGACAAAGTATAGGCTGTATTCACTGTGAAAACAAACGCCAATTACAATGCACAGACGTTAACATTACGTTATCAATTACTTGAGAAATAGTCCTTCCATCCGGTGTGGGTGCTTGTGGATGATTCATATGGCCGCGTGTCGTGTACTTATCAGGCCATTTTCGAATTAATGAATGAACCCTCCACTCCATAAGTAAACATGTATACTATAGTCAGAGATACCAATCCGATTTATACTAAACGCGTCTGTGGTTATCACTCGTTTTCTATTCCACTGGACCCTGAGTCTATACACTTTTGGGATTGGTTTTACTTAAAGAATGCAACTATATGATGTA